TGTGTAGTAAAGCCCACCAAGAAGCTAGATGCTTAATATTCACACAAAGAGAATCTAACAAAATCAACTTATCTTAAAAAAGCCGACTATTCCGTTCCTTCCATATCGACCATAAAAGAGCCCGGGCCGCACAATTTCCAAAGAACCCAAGCTTTGCCCTTGAGCTGCCTTCCTCCATAACCTTCAGCAATGAAATCCTCAATTCTTCTAGGAGTACAGAGAGAGAAATCTAGCAAAGAAGCTATAAACTCCCAAACTTTGGACACAAAAGGGCAATGGAGAAAAAGGTGGTCCACAGTTTCATTGTTGCTCGTACACATTGTGCACACAGAGGGAGAAAGAGTCCAATGAGCTAATTTCCTTTGAAGTTTCTTTGCGGTATTTACCCCTCTATAGAACAAAGTCCAAATGAAGAATTTTACCTTCTTTGGGACTCTAAAATTCCATATCAAGCTTGCAGTAGTTGAATTAAGTTGAGGAGAAGGGGACGTGAGGGCCATGAAGGCTGAATTGACTGTGAAACGGGCAGATGGGTCCGCTTTCCACCATATAATAATTGCTCTCTCTCTGAAAATAATCTGTAGATGCCTATTGGGCTAGTTTTTCCTCTGGGGTTTGCTTTAACCTTCAAATATCGATTGGATCCTGTGTTCGAGGTAATATAGTTGAAGATGATAACCCCCCCTACCACTGGTAACCATAACCATGGTGATCAGTGTCAAACTTTTCTTGATTAAGAGTGATACTCTGTTTAAGATTGAAAGTATTCCAAAGGCACTGGTGAAATTAAGTGCTAGCTTGCTCTATTTTCCTAGAAGCTCTTTGTTTTGAGAGGATTCGTTTTTGCATGATTTATGTATAAACTATGCTTGATTATTGATGAAAGTTTTTAGATAGTTCAGTGTGGTTTTCTGGGGTATGATGTGCTCTTTTCAAATGTTGAAATCCTCTATCATCTAGAAATATCTTTACACGTAAAACATTAATCAATACTTATATTGCCTTTCTCCCTTGCTGTGAAGGTCAAAGAGGTGATCATTTCATTCTTTATATTGATGGAACAAGGCAAATCTACTTTAGAAGTATTTGTCTCCTATCTCCTCTGTTTCTTTTTTTCCCCTTGCTTACTTCAATGTGGATTATTTGTAACTTTATGGTAATATGTGACTTTTCGATACTGGCAAGTAGGATCTTGATCTACGGTGTGAGGAGTTGATCAAAGAAGAGTTTGGTGAGAGCTGCAACTTTGAGGTGGACGATGCAGTTCAAAAGTTAGAGAAACTCGGAATTGTTTCTCGGGTTAGTCATTAACATTTTTCTGACTGATGAAAATGGTTTACAAAAATGTACGGAAGCAAGAAATTTGAGAAAAAGTAAGTTACATGACTGGAAGTCGTTCTTGATTGAAAATGGTATACTCTCTGCTTCTAAGTGGGAAAGGGATCAAGCATGCTCTAAATACGTTTCCTTTATTTATTAATTTTGAATACGTTAAGCTTTGTATGTGTACGCAGGCTCGTTGCTGTAAATGGATTCACCTATCATGATTTTCTATGATACAAATGCCTTCTTAACCTTGAAACTAATTCTATGGATAGTGTATGGTGCATGTGGAGGGTTGTCGTTGTCTTCATCTGATTTTTTCTTCATCTGACACTTGAATTAGGATACAATTGGACGTTACTACTGTGTTGGATTGAAACGCGCTAACGAGATCATCGGACCGACTACGGAGGAGCTTGTCCTGAAAGCGAGGCAGGGCACCAATTCTTGAAAAATGAAAAGGCAAGCCCCTTCCTCCTTTCAGAAAGAATCTTGGCTCTAAAGCATGGGAGAATTGTAGTTTCAATTGCAACTGTAGATAGATGAAGTGAAATCGCTGCTTAGAAAATTTTCCACTTCAATAGTTCAGTGATATAAGCTGAGTAGTTTGGTTCATGTATTTACCTCTTATGAATTCATAGAAATGCTACTCTTTGATTTGGGTCTGGAATTTAATTACATTGCAGCCTTGCAGGTAAATGATTTCAACAATATACTTTTATGGCTGTTTGTTTCTATCTTAGTTTTTGGCTTAGTGATGGGTGTATTTTCTTAACCCGGGATGTTAGTTACGGGATAAATTATTCAATGGTACATTAGTTTCATAATCATTAAATGTATGGTTAAGTAGTTTCTAATCTCTCATTTGATAGTATTAAAGTGACGGTTGCTAGATGTCGTATCGTGTTAGTTTTTAAAGTTCACATCTCGTATTTGTAACAATTTTGTTTAGTAGAATTTTGATGTCAAACCATTGCCAAAAAAGAAAAAAATGGCGATACGTATGATCAGAAACGGTGTTCACGATTTGGGTTATGGAATTTTATGTTGCCTCTGTTATTCTCTCCCTTTGCTTCTTGAATGTAACAAAAGTAATAGATGCTTGTACGACTAAGCCCAGTTAGCTAACAATTTACAGTAGTTAAAAACACAAAATTTATTGTTGAATTAAACAAAAAAAGTATGAATGATAATTTAAATTTTTTAAATTAGATAGTAAATTATAATGTTAGTTTATTAATAAAGTTAAATATTTTTAAATAGTATTTTTGTTATATTTGAGAATTCATAGTTATTTGATTTGATTCTTATATTTTAAAAATGTCTATTCATGTTCTCGAGCTCTCATAAATTCTTTTGCTAAATTATATTTAATAGAGAATGTAGATTATATGTTTTAAATTTGATATAAAATTTAATATATGTATAAGAACCAATGCTATTTGAATTCACAACCTCTTAACGAGAGGTAGATATCAACTACTGATAAGTTCGGTTTGCGTTAAATATAAAAATAAAAATTTGTTGGCCATGGCTACATATTTCTAATGTGAAATTTGAAAACTAATATATATTTTAAATATATAAATATCAAATTGACACGGAAGTTGAGAGACTAAATAAATTTAAATCAATTAAGTATAACAAATTAGTTAATTAATTAAACAATATATTTTTGTTAGTACAAATTAAACAATATTTAATACTAAAATGTTATTCAATTACAAATTGTGTTACAAATGGGGTGGAGAATGGGTACAAATACTTTTAACTATCGAGTTGGTAACGTAATCTTAAATAATTATAAATTCCAATAAAAGAAAATAGTAAGAATAATTATAAATTATAAATGATTAATTATTTTAAGAATTAAATAACTAAATTTAACTAAAGCGAGTATAGCTCATATGTAATTGATATTTATATTCATCGCAGCTGTGAGTTCAATTTTCCACCCCACATCTTGTACTTAAAAGAATAATAACTAAATTTAGAATAAATAAATCAATTTGAGCCCAGATCAAACAGTAAGTAGCTATTTCTTAAAAGAAAAATTTGAAATTCATTAGTTTGAATCCACACTTGTTTTATTATTTTCCACATATACTCTTTTCTCACTATTAATTTCTTCTCAAAATAGGATTCTCTTGCGCATAGATCAACAATAATCGACGTGTATTATTTCTCTCGACGTCGGAGGTTAGATCTCCCGGTTTGCTCGTACTCTTGACCGTTCTTGTTCAGTGGAGATTTATCTACGAATTTTGGTTTTACTGCGCTTCTCTCAATCTTAAATCTCAATTGACAATTCAAAACTATTTTATGCACCAAAAATCTCAACACCCATCGACTTCAAATCTTAAAACTGTGTACAAATCTCTGTACTCTTAGTATGACTCCAAATTCGATTTGATGCTATTGAATGATGAAATTGGGCCATATTTTCTACTGGACCTGAGATTGAATTTGTCATGGCTCTGTTCTACTTATATGCTTCAACATTTGCAGTACCTGAAAAGCACATATACATGCATCCATGTCGTAAAAGAAATTGTTGTTCCTTTGGTATTTACAGAGAGGTTGGAAATCAAAATTCTCATTTCTTTGGGAATTAGAGAGCGTACGGTATAAAGATTCTGGGTTCTGCAGCCTTACCTACTTTCTTCCTTGGCTCTGTGGGAGATCGATCGCCTCTGGGTGTTCGAATGTCGATGGGAAACGATACCACTTGGGTAGGAAAGAAACCTCTGAGGCGCATTGGAGGAATGTCCGATGCTCTCTCCATTGCCGCTGATCTCGGTTTCTCTGTCTCTCCTCCCCCTTCGCAGGTCGCTCTTTCTTCTATCTCTGTCTGTTTATACATTTCACAGGTCTTCCATTTATCGCTCGTTCAGGTTCTCTGTCTGTGTACTTATGATGCAATTCGGTTTAAATTTAAAGCTGTAATTACCTATCCTCTCAGTTTCTCCCCTTTGTTTATTTCTGCTGCAAATTTCTGATACATGAAGTTTTGAACCCGTGGTTGATCGTGGATGTTGTTAAAGAATTTAATAGGTGAATGCGTGTTGCGAATTAGTTTTTTGGAAATGGTGTAGAGCTCTCGACCCGCCTGTTGAATTGGAGATTTAGATCTCAGGGTGATTAGGCATAACTTGGATTTGAATTTTGAATTCTGGAACTTGGTAAATTTATCAAGTAATCATTATTAAAGGGAAATTGTATTTTTCATTACATTAGAAAGCGAGGTCAATGTTTACCGGCCTCTTCACTGGTCGAGAATGAATGTGTATTGCAAGAGTACACCTGGGCTGAATTTTGGCAATACATTTAAAAGATATCTTGCCTGGCTTATAAACCACTATTTTTTGGTAAAGATGCTGGCTGAACAGAAAGGGCCCATCTCTCTCGGAGGGAAATATCCCCAATATACTGTACATCCTTTAAGAATTCTTCCTAAAATCATGAGTGGGGTTCTTTGGGAAAACTGGAAGGCATCTGGGGGTGGCATGGGGTTCCAATTAGACCAATGGGCTAAAATTTCTTATCCGAAAGATTTTGGAAACCAAGGCCCTGGTAGAATTTGTGTGAAGAACACTACCCTCTCGAGGAAAATGGTTATGGAGATTTTCATATTGACTATCTTTCCTCATGACATTGAGTTATTGCCTGCAGGTGTCGTGTAAACTTATTTGGGTTGGATATGAAAATGGTGGGACGGAGTAACCACTGTCCTCGGCCTTTTATCCATAAGACTAGTTGTTATTTAAAGTCCTGTTTCATTTCTGCATAGACCATGGAAAAAGATCAGATTATGGAAGGACACTTGATATTGCTTCTATCGTTCCTCCTTCTACAGGTGACTCTTTGCTACAGTGGCCCTTGGTCTAAGGGAAAACCTACAATCAATTGGTACAGCTCTAACATACTATCTTGTGGATGATTTAGAGATGGGAATATGGAGAATTTTTGGGACAAAAAAGAGTGACGGGTGTTTCTTGGGGATCATGTACCAAAGGGCTTTATAATTTATTCTATTTGCTTGATTTTGGCGGTGGAGAATTCTTTGTAATCTACTGAACCACCTGTGTTAGGAATGGTCATCCAATCCTCCCTCCCATCTCTTTGTATACCTTTGTAATCTGCTAAACCACCTTTGTTAGGAATGGACCGAATGGTCATCCTATCCTCCCTCCCATCTTTGGTATGCCTTTTATCTTTAACACATTTCTTGGCTTTAGACAAGTGATTCTTAGGGCTATGTTAATTCTTACCAATAAAATCTATTTCAAGCTCAAAGTGCCTGGTCATGGCAAATTTTCTCTTTCAACTTTGCTAATTTGCTTGTTATAGTGGGTTATTTGAGTTCTCTGGTTCAATTAATACAACTTGGTAACTTAAAATTCGGAACTTTATAACCTGAAATTTTAAATGGGATAATCTGTCCTCTTTAGGAAGAACTACAAAACGTATCATCCACCACAGGTGAAAATGGTGATGATCTAATTAAAGTTTTACGAGAACTTACTGCCGTTCAAAGGAAAATAGCAGATCTTCAAGTGGAACTTCAAGGTCGTAAAGTGAGTATCCTGTGCTTCTGTCAATTTCAACTTTTAATGTGTATGAAGTTTTCAGCGTCAAAATAGGATAAAATTATACTTGTTCATTGTTAATTCGTATATTTTATATTCGTTATTGTACTAAATGAATTGAAATATGATTTCCTTAGGATGACAAAAATGTAGCCCATTTGACACATGTGAGTGAAATGGAAAAGAAGATCGAGACTTTATCAAGGATTACTACCATTTTGAAAGATGTCATCCAGAATAAGGTGCTTTCTTGAACTATGATTCTCAACCCTGTATATTTTGCCATCTTGGCGTGGATTTGAATCATGTTTCAATGCCTTGTGCTTTTAACCTCTTTTTTCTTATCTCCGACCTCCACATTTTGGTGGGGAGGCCTCAACTAAATGGTATGTTTAATTTCATGATAATTCTTGATTACTTTACTTCTATACTCCAATTCATCAGGTGGTCCTCTAGAATTGGTTGATCATTTCATCATAACGTGTGAACTATGAAATTGATCGTTCTATATTTCTGAGAAATTTTCGATTCAGTTGAGCTTTCTTTTCCAATAATACAAACTTGTTCTTGGGAAAATCTGGCAGAAAGAGGTATTGGCCATCCTTTCTGCCTTTTTTTACCCTTGCTTTAATGAGTATTGGATAGTTGCAGCGTATATTTACTGATCCTTTCAGGAAGAAATTCTTTGTTGAGGCCATGTTTCTTTAAAAGTATTAGTGCTTTTAGGACTTGAAATGTGGTACGATTACCTAGAGACTTTCAATATGCTTATTCGTTGCTTCTAGTCATTGCACTGCTTTAGTTTACCAGTCCTCATTTGTGAAGATTATATTGCAGTACTCAAGGAAATGTTATGGAACTACCTTGAGAGAAACTTTCTGTCTAAGATGACTTCTTTAAGCCTAGGTGGGAACTTATGTAAGTAGTATTTAGTAATTGTGAAAGCAAGTGCCGCCTGATCTGTAGAAAGTTCATTTGCCTCGCAAGACAAGGTCATCAACTGCTGATGCTTTTTTTCCCCCTTGCATGTCGAGGATTTGACTGGCATGACCACTGCTGAAATCATTACTTTATTTGCTCTAGCATACTCTTTTTCCCTTTTTTGGATACATTTTGTCTTGGACCTGCTATAAAAGTTAATTACACCGAGTGCAGATCTAGAGTGATTCGTCATTTTCTAATGAATTATGGAGAGAGCTGAGAGAAATTAATTGGAAATTAGTTGAAATTTGGATTGCTTTGATATTTTCGTCAACTTTGGTTAATTGTTAAAATTAATCTCTATAGTCTCGGCTTCCCTAGTAAGATCTCATCACTAGAGGAGTGAGATGTTACTTGTCAACTTGAGAAATTTTGAGAGTAAATAATGATTTTTCAATAAGGAAGAATGGTTGAAAGATTTTTATTATAGCTGTAGATAGGAAAACATGTACCCTGCAAAGTATGTATATTATCTCACATGTTCTATTTGTAGTATGCTTTTGAATCTTTGATTGCTTCTTTTTGCCCAAGTTCCAAGTTCTAACCATAAAAATTTGTGCTGATTGATATTGCATGGTAACTTGTCGCTTCTTATCTCAATGCCTTTTCTTTTTTACTTTTTCTTTTCCCTTCTAAATGAAGCTCATAGATTCTAATTTTGATATTTATAAAAGTGGGTAACCAATTAAAAGAATCAAATTTAGTGACTAAAATGAAAATCAAGTTAAATTTCAGGATTAAATAATATTTAACATTTTTATTGTAAAAGTTTCTCATGTATTTCCTTCCAATTTTAATGAGCCTATTTAGCTCTTAAAAGTTCTATGCCCCACACATGTCCCAATTATTTCCTGGCTTTGATTGGTCAGAATTCCTTAGCCCCGAGAGTGCATCCATGCATCCTACATTATATCGATAGATAAATAATTCTAGTGCCATGATATCTTCTTTATCTTATTTTCCTCATTTCCAAATACTGCAGGATCGTATTATAGCTCGTCTTCAGCAACCATATTCACTCGATTGCATTCCAGTAGAAGCAGAATTTCAGGTTTGTCAATCAGTAAATGCTTATCATTCCTTGAAAATCCATGCCATAAAATTTTCCAGTATTTGAGGCGACTGGATGTCGGTAACATCCCTTGACTTGTTTCACTCGGATTATGAGAAAATGTCACATGAAATTCAACCAGAACATGAACTCTAATATTTTTCTCTTTGTTCACTTTTCCAAAAACAATTCTATCGATCATCCAAAACAGCCAAAACTGGAACACCCTACCATTCCATAAAGTTCTGGCTGTTTCATTGACGAACTCTTCATCATGAAGTTATGATCATGTGATCAGGCAGTGAAAGGAAGTTTGAAATCTGTGTGGCGTTGTTTTGTATTTTCTGCTTCTGATTAGTTTGAGATTCTGCCGGAGGTAAGCTAATCATGTGACTGACTGACAAATGACAATGCTCGATGTCGATGTTTCGCAGAAACAATTTTCCGAGTTACTGATGAAGGCTGCCAGTGATTATGGAGCTTTGACAGCTTCAGTTGCAGATTTCCAATGGAGTCAGAACTTTAAGGAGTCACCTTCAGTGTGGGGGGTAAACTTTAATCATCTCTGCTCTGTCTAATTTCATGTTGACGCAAGCAAATGAAGCTCTGCTGTTCTAACTGAGGATGAAATGTCCATTTAGATTAAGAAAATTGGATCTTTTCCAATTCATTGAGTTGTAGTCCATACTTTAACCAAAATTCTTTAATCTGTTTTACTAATGTAGGAAATGCTTAGGCCGATTCCTGTAGCTTTAGCTTCTTGCACTAGATTCTTTGAAGCCATGAGTGCTATGAGGGAATCGTTTGCAACACTACAAAATCTCAGAGTAGGTAATTCCAATTCATCTCTGCCCACAACCCCACCTATCGATTCATCCCTTCGAGTGGCACACGATTCCGCCTGCATCACGCCGCCTCCATGGCGAACCGAATGAAGCTTTGATGACTTGGCGATTAGAAGCATGCATAGGCAAAAAAATGGACAACAACAAGAAGCCGAGGAGGAACACAGTGAGCAGGATGACTCACATCAGGTTGATGCCTCGAGCCACCGAAGATTGTCGTGGCCCCCTTCAGTTAAAAAGAGTGGCATTTGATATTGATATTAATATTGTATTCTGATGTAGAAGAGTTCACTGTTTATCGTTTTATGTACATGTAAAATATTAATTAGATTGATCATGATGAATATTGTACACAATTATCATTTTATCATCGTTGTTTAATCGAGTGATTTGTTAAATTATTGCAACAACCATTTGAATCTAAACTTAAATTTGTGAAATATTCATTAGTTTCCATCTTCCCAAACTTTATAATAATAGAAATGGGAGTAAGTTACCTGAATTCATAAGATGAAGTTCGAAAACTAGTTGATTCTTGGATTTACCATAATAATACACCACCACCGTTTAATTCAAAGTTTATGAATCCTAATTAGACCATTTATTTTATAATGAATTAATTTAATTAATTTCCACATATAGTTCACATATTTTCAACTTAATTTTTTAACATCTAATTCCATTTCCATAACTGCTCTTCTCCCATCATGTATGCGATAGTACATCTTTTAAATGGGGAAAATTGACAAAATAAACGACACAAGTTTTCTAGTCACATGACATACTTTGTCAAATGACATTTCATGCCCCTTCTTACTTTTTCTTCTCTTCCAGACTCCATCTCTCTTCTCTCTCCCCTCCTCTCTCCTCCATTTCTTAGATTTGCTTGATCTTGTCCATGATTTCTACACAACACACACCAGTTTTTGGCGTCTCCGCTAGGAACTGCTTCCATCCCGAGCTCTTGCGCCTCCCTGGTGGCCTCTTCGACGACATTGTTGAACAAGAATAATTTGCATATGAAATAAGATAAAAATTTCCTTATTATTTTTCCCAACTCTTTCACCCTCTCTTCTAAAATCAAAATTTCAAGATTTCAAAAACTTTGCTTCTATATCTCTTGCACGTCCCTCCTGTCCGGACTATCTTCTTCTCCATGAAACCAAATGCGTCGAGGAGGGAGGGGAGAAGAGAGAGAGGAGAGAAGAGAGAGGGACAAAGCGAGAGCGACGTCATCGATAGAGTGAGATCGAGAAGGACAGAGCGAGATCGAGAAGGACAGAGCGAGATCGAGAAGGACAAAGCGAGATCGAGAAAGACGAGAGAGAGATCTAAAGAGCGGTGAAGAA